TGCACATTGCTGGATCATGATGGGGCTCAGGCATGTATTTGGGGGGGGGGGGCTGTTGCTCACAGAAGGTTTTTTATCTTCATGCATATAATGCATGAAGGTAAATAACATTGAGACTTTATATCCACTTTAAAGTTTGAAATATTTGGCTGTAGCAGGAGGCAGTGTGTTCGCAAAGGGCTAGATAGCAGTACAGTAATGTCTGCAGGCAACAGTGCAACATGGTGGAGGTTCATTGCAAGTTTGGGGCTGCATTTCTGTTTTTGGAGTTGGAGATTGGGTGTCCTCAATATTGTGAGATACAAACAGATACTTATCAATCATGCCATACCATCAGGGAGGTGTGTTGTTTCCCCCAACTTATTCTGCAGTTGAACTATTTTCAGCATAAAGGAGAACAAGAAGTCCTGGAAGTTATGGTTTGGCCCCCACAGAGCCCTGATCTCAACATCATCGAGTCTGTCTGGGATTACATGAAGAGATAGAAGGATTGAGGCAGCCTACATACACATAGAAGATCTGTGGTTAGTTCTCCAAGATGTTTGGAACAATCTTCCTACTGTGTTCCTTCAAAAACTGCATGCAAGTGTACCTAGAAGAATTGAAACAATTGAGTACTGTCCTTGATACTTTTTTCATTTGCACTAACAAACAATTTTAAGGACAAAGAATTGAAGAAGAATTGAATTGAAGAAGAATAATTGAATTCAATAGAAGAATTGATGCTGTTTTGAAGGCAAAGGGTGTTCACACCAAATATTGATTTGGATTTCTCTTCTGTTCATTTACTTTTCATTTTGTTAATTGATAAATATAAACTATTAACACTCCTATTTCTGAAAGCATTCTTAATTTACAGCATTTTTTCACACCTGCCCAAAACGTTTGCACAGTACTGTATATATATATTTTTTTTACATGTGTTTGCACATATATTGGAATAAACTACACTCCACATTTATTATAGACTGGCTTACGTACACTAGACCATTATCCAATGTCATCAATATATAGATCCTAGGATAGGAAATTGGTGAGTGCATTACCTTTAATGGCATTTTTAATTGTTCCTAATGTTCACATTTAAGTACGGTAGTCACAAGATGGCAAAGGAATTAAATAGCCATTCACCCTGGCTAAAGATCAATAAACAAGTTATTTGCTTTAATAGTTTCCTCTCCATGCCAAAGAACGCATCATCTATTTTGAGTACAAAGCAGACTGGTAATTCCACTATTTGAAGGCCCTCCCACCCCAGATCAAACCAGCACTGTGAATAAGTGCCTGTTAACACGTATCTCTGTTTGTTCAGCTTTGCAATCTTCCAGGCTGTGAAATGTCTTTCAAACTCAGTCTATTCCCCTAATTACGACATCCTAAATGAGCAAATAACTTGAAACCGTTCATTTTCCCAGTCCACCTCTTATTCAGAAATTACGTTCTTTGAACATATAAACACTTCTAAATAATCTATGCTTAATGTACTTGTTGAAGGTAATGTATTGATTTTTAATCTCTCGGTGTTTGGAACATCTGTTTTATGTTTAATGGTATATGGCAATCTTTGATCATTGCTATTTTTAAATTACAATCGGCAATCCCAGCAACTAGAAATGTCCATGGGTCATAAATCTGTGACTGGCTTGAGGATCTCTCAGTTTGTTATGTAGGAGAAGAGTTTACAGGCTATTTTAACTATTTTTTATATGATATTTAATAATGTATGAGCACTTCCATTCTTTTCAAATAAAAGTGGTTTCCAAAGATGATGACAAAATGGAATTACTACAAAATCTGATATTATATCCATTCCCAAATGTCCTGAATCTGTTGCCAAGGATTAGAGGTGATGGAGATTAGAAAAGTGGGAGTGTTTTTTCCAAGCATGGTTATATTAGGGGCAGATTTGAATATGCATGAAATCCAGAGAGTTGCATGATCAAGCTTATCAAAGCTACCTTGTTCAGATTGTACAGATTGTTGCATAAAGGAACTAAATTGTCTTTATAATAAACTAATTATCAGATAAAGTAGATTGAAATGCTAAATGAATGACATTTAATTTGCTGAAGCACCATGGATTTTAAACAATAGACTTTAAAAATGCTAGATTTCATATTTTTTAACCTTTACTGCATCTCTTTCCAGACACTTATTATTACTTTTATGCCATCCGAGAGATGGCTGTATAGCATTTCTCAGGAAGGGGGTACCAGATGGCGACATTAGTGAACATCTCTTGCATAATATGTGTTGACATGGTCATCTGTAGTTTCCATTGGAAGCCTGTGACAGGGTGACTACATCGGAGCCCAACTGGGAGACAGGGACAGAGTGAGTCACCCATTAACAAAAGGTGCCTAAGCAAGGATCTTCCCGGCAGGATCATAAGGTACTATTTTAACCACTTGCCGCCCACCAACAGTACATATACTGCTGGTGAGTGGCATCCCCAGGCACAACAACAGACAGGTACATCGTGATGCACATGGACACTGGCATACTCCCTGGGGTGTGCAGTAACGAGATTCTGGATCAAGATGCTCGGTACCCGGTCGGTGTGAGTGGCTAGGGTCTCATGTGACTGCTATGACATTACATGCAAAAAGCACATTACATGCATTACATTCATTACATGCAAGCCATTCATGACAGCTTGCTAACTATTGTGATACTATGTATGGACCACAGCTATCACATGGTACTTGGCACCCTATACCATGTAATTAGCATCACAATAGTAGGCAAGCTGTCATGAATAAAAACCATTCATGACAGTCAAAACTATTGCATATAACAGTGATCATCAATGCTGGGGACACTAAACTACCCTGATGACAGTATGTAAAAATAAATAAATAAAAAAGTAAAAACTTATTTATTTTAATTATTTTTTTTTTTTTACATAATGTCACCAGTCATTAGCCTTGATCAGCCCCACAGCAGTCATATGATGATGCTATATTGCACTGGTGAGAATATATATAGAATAAAAACACGGTTAATTTACTTTCATCATTTTCAAAAAAATATTTTTAAAAAAATTATAACTTCAAAACTTGCCATGCCTTTTACTTAAAGTGTTACTAAACCCACAACAGTAAAATCAGTCTGTATATTCAGTAAAGCATGCTTGTTATACTCACTGTGGAGCCTAAGGGGTTAATTCTCTGCATTGTGTAAAAACGCTGTTTGATACTGACTTCTCTGATCTTCCCCTTCTTCCAGTGTCTCCCTCTTATCTCCTAATAAGACATATCGTGTGGAGTCACTCTGCACATGCTCAGTTTGGCGTGTATTGCTAGAGAGGTTTTTTTTTTTTTTTGCTTGGGAGAGTGCATGTGATCAGCACAGGGCCAATCAGCACTGTCCAGACAGTGGTCAGGGGTACTGCATCCTCCTACAGCAGAATGAAAACTCCTCCCACAAGCTTTAACCAGTGCTCGGCTGGACACCAATAGTAGTCACAAGACTGCTTTAACTGCTGAGAAAAGGTATTTAGCAGTTTAAATTTAGTAAAATATTTATACTTCCATGTACTGTCACTTGTAATGGTTTTTTTTTCCTTTTTCTTTCTTTCTTTTCTCTGTTTTCTTTTCCTGAAAAAATTTATAATAATGAAGCTAATGAAGACCCTTTTTAGAAAAGATTAGGCCCAAGATAGTTGAAAGGAGCTTCCTTAACTCGTAGGATCCATTTAAAGCCATTACATGCTTAGCCTACCTTGTTTTCACTTTTCCCAATTACTTTAAGACATTTAGTCAAATATATTTTACATATTTTACATTGCATTGATATTTTTGGGAAATGAAACCTCTCAGTTTTCTCACTGCTAATCAGGACTGTAGGGGCAGAGGAGGTTCAGCCTTAGGAACCCAAATGAGAATAATTAGGCAGTATGTGTATCATACATACCACAATAAATTATGATTGTGGCAAAACTGCACTGACACTGGAATGGACCTAAAACATGAACCTACTCATCATGTACATGGTAACATATGCTAGAGCACTAATATCCAAAAAAATGCTTTAATTAATGTGCCACAAGCGAGAGTCTATAAACGTGGACAAACTTCAACATAATGGTTTGTAAAAATGAAACTGTTCCATTATATACTGTATACTTTTCTTTACACATCCTACCAAGTCTTAAAACTTAAATTTTTTCCAATTGTGTATAAAATATGATCTTTATTGACATTGCAGATTCGCAACATCTTAAATGCAGTAAATAATAGAAAAACAACAGTCGTCCCGGAAAAAGCCAAGCTATGCATTGGTTCTTTCATTGAAACCACACTCTCTTTTATTACATTACCAGGTAGATTTAGAATGTCTGACTAACTATACTCCTTTTTTTTTTTATTGTCAAAGTATATTTATTTTAGGTGGTCAAACAGAACACACATAAATATGTGGATATTAAAGCTGATGGCTATTTATTAATAAACACTATATTGCCAAAAGTATTGGGGTGCCTGCCTTAACATGCACATAAACTTTAATGGCATCCCAGTCATAGTTCGTAGGGTTCAATATTGAGTTGGCCCACCCTTTGCATATAACAGCTTCAACGCTTCTGGGAAGGCTGTCCACAAGGTTTAGGAGTGTGTCTATGGGAGTATTTGACCATTCTTCTAGAAGTGCATTTGTGAGGTCAGGAACTGATGTCGGACGAGAAGGCCTGGCTCACAGTCTCCGCTCTTTTTTTTACCCAAAGGTGTTCTATTGGGTTGAGGTCAGGACTATGTGCAGACAGTCAAGTTCCTAAAACCCAAATTTGCTCATCCTTGTCTTTATGGACCTTGCTTTATGCACTGGTGCACAGTCATGTTGTAACAGGAAGGGGCCATCCCCAAACTGTTCCCACAAAGTTGGGAGCATAAAATTGTCCAAAATATCTTGGTATGCTGACACCTTAAGAGTTCCCTTCACTGGAACTAAGGGGCCAAGCGCAACCCCTGAAAAACAAACCCACACCATAACCCCCCCTCCACTAAATTTGGCACAATGCAGTCAGGCATGTACCATTCTCCTGGTAACCGCCAAACTCAGACACACATCCATCGGATTGCCAGACAGAGAACTGTGATTCGTCACTCCAGAGAGCACATCTCCACTACTCTACAGTCTAGTGGTGGTGTGCTTTACACCACTGCATGTGGTGCTTTGCATTGCACTTTGTGATGTAAGGCTTGAATGCAGCCATGGAAATCCATACCATGAAGTTCTCTATGCACTGTTGTTATGCTAATCTGAAGGCCACATGAAGATTGGAGGTCTTTAGCTATTGACTTTGCAGACAGTTGGCGACTTCTGTGCACTGTGCGCTTCAGCATGCGCTGACTGCGCTCTCTCAATATTTAGTAGCAAAGAATTTTCACAGATGGAATTATTGCACAGGTGGCAACCTATCTCGATACCACACTTGAATTCACTGAGCTTTCTTTCACAAATGTTTGTAGAAGCAGTCTGCATGCCTAGGTGCTTGATTTTATACACCTGTGGCCATGGAGGTGATTGGAACACCTGAAACCAGTGATTTTGAGGGCTGTCCCAATACTTTTGGCAATATAGTGTATGCAGCCCCATGACCATTAACAGAAAGAATACAAATTTCAGGGTTTTTTTTTTTTGGTCAAATACTCGATTACTACATTCCATAACATAAAATCATGCAGAACGTTACAAAATTATCCAGCTAAATGCTAGGAAGAAAGAATACAGGCATGGGAAACAATGGAAAACTCAAATGTACCCATGAGGAGAGTACAGAAACCACATGTTCGTATCAGTAATGGAATAGTAACCACAATCATTAATAGGTGAGGCACATCAAGAACATAAGAAAAATAGAACAAACCAAATATCACCAAATGATTCCTTTGTTATTAATGTTTGGTAAAATCATTATTACCCCTGCTGTGTTCTTGCTTATTCCCTTAAAATGCTCTTTCATGTTTTTTAACACCAAGTATGGTATAAATTCAGGGCTTTTTTTCAGTGCAGGGGAACCGACACCTCCAGAACTAAGTGTATGTAATAGCAAGGGGTTCTGAGTTGTGCTGGAAGGTCTATTGGTACTGGCTGCTGGGGGATCTATTGTTACTGGAGGAGATCTATTTTTGCATGGTAGTCTATTGTTGCTGGGGAGGTCTGTTGTTGCTAGTGGGGGAACTATTGTTGCTGGAAGGTATCTACTGTTGAGGGAGGGGTCTATTCTTGCTGGCTGCTGGAGAGTCTATTGATGCTGGCTGCTGGGGAATCTGTTGATGCTGCTGGGGGGTATATTGTTGCTGGGGTGAGATTTTGTTGCTGGGGGGGTCTATTGCTGCTGGCTGCGGGGGATTGATTTGACTGCTTTTCTTGTTATCATCAACAAATTCCATGCAAGCATACATACCTAGCACCACAAGTTGATATTTGGGTGTGAATTCCCTATGAGGAGCGGTACTGGAACTTGGGTAGGGGGTGGAACTAAGAGACTGTGCTCAGAGATAGGTAGGGGGGTGGAGGTAAGAAGTGATCCAGAAGGGGGGAGTTCCTGCACCTATTCTCTGAGAAAAAAAAGCTCTGTACAAATTACTTACGGCACTAGGTTAAGTCAGGCAGGACGCCTCTTGCTGTTGCTCACAGACTGTGCCTGGAAGAGGATCCTGTGGTTATAATATCTGATGAGTCTAAGCGACTCAATATTTGGTAGGCAAGAATGGAGCAAGGGTGAGGCCGTGGCAAAGATGAATTCTTTGAGACTCTAACTCTAGGAGCTTCCCCTTAGGTGAGAAGCAAGGCTGGAGAAGTGAAGGACTTTGCATTGAAACCACTCGAAAACCCCTGTGCTGTCACCCCTGGGATGAATGAAGTATGTAAATATGTAAATTAATTGGTCCAGTAAATGCTTAGCCCTGGTTCACACTGTGAGGGTTGGTTGTGGGTTTGGGAATCGCATCTGTTCCCGCACCCTCATCCACCCACAGCCAAATTGCACTGCTCTTACGAGACGCGATGCTGCCATTCATTCAGAATGGCACCTCCGCACATCTCAGCCCACAGCGCATTTGCAGGTGTGGAAACCGCAGGGAAATCGCATGGTCAAAAACACCATAAGATTTCCCTGCACCCGTGTTTTACAAAGGTTCCTGCACTTTTTTTTTTCAGAAAACGCAGGCATTGCAGCCCATTCATTTGAATGGGCTGCCATGCCCACAAGAACATGGGCTGCATGGCCCGCACAAGTGTGAACCAGGGCTTAAAAAGGATTCTAGTGTTTGGATTCTTCCTCCTTACGTCAAGATGGGTGCTGAGTGAAGTTGATATTGGAATCCATTGCCATAAGGCTTGAAACAAGTATAGCTATAAAGCTACTGGAGGTACTGGTTACACCAGCCAGGAGCTTTGGTGGGGTGCTCATAGATCCTTGCCCAGGGGAGGATCCTGTGTCCATATTACTCAATGAATCTAAGGCGCTCTACCTATGCCAGGTAGGAATGGGAGAAAATAGCTGGTGCGCCCCCCCCACACACACCGCATGATTGTTGAAGCACATGGAGGACTAGCAACTCATGCATGCATAAATGCGTGGGTAGGACAATACAGCTACAGGACCTTCCATCCCTGGCTGGAGCAAGAACCCCTGGCTAGAGGGATTTTGGTCTGTAGAAAGTTAGGTAAGTATAAAAATGCTATAGCAAATGACAGGTTAGGATGGTGAAGAGGATTAAAATAATGACTTGAGGCAAGAGTTTTGGTCTCCTTGAATAGTTTGGCAGAGGGATATAAAACATTTCTAAGTCTTCCCATAGAGGGTGTTGTTTTATGGCAGGAATAGCAAAAAGAAAACCATCTTATGTCACCTTGACAATTTAAACGTATTCTCTTGGGTGTGAAACATACAGCCTTTTTAAAAACGTTAATGGTTTCTTAGCCAAAGAGGATACCTGAAAATGAATTGGTTTCTATTGTGCTCTCTTCAGATCAGAGATTACTTTTATTGTGTGCAGAACATAATAACAATACAAGAGCTATGTAATTGCAGAACTCTAGATTTGCAGATCAGATTAAATCATTTTTGTGGCTGAGCACAATGATAGTAATTAAGAGAATCTCATCTATCATTTATAAGAACGAGCCACTATTGTTTAGAACTTGACAATTTCTTTGAGCAAACCTTGGCTGATTCTGCAGTGCTAATCTCAAAGTCGATGTTAATTTTAGCTCAGAACAAAATAACATTCTTGTAGGATTACAGTCGGCTAGAAGGCGTGAGTTTCTGTAATGAATGATTGAGCACCCAGGTCTCTATAGTGTATGAATAGATTTCTCCAAGGAGTTTAGGTAATATGAATTAAATCGCTGTAACATTTTCAACATATGTGGATAGTATAATATATTAAGTCATAGATTAACCTTTGTGGTTTTTAGAATTCTTGTTTCATGTTTTCGCTCTGCAGCTAGACATTTTGGACAGCTACAGGTGCTTGATATGAATGGTCTCCAGGAGTGGGAGATGTGGCCGTGTACTCTGCATGACTTGATAAACTTATTTGACCATAAGAGTTCAAGAAAGGTAAAGTTAGTGAATTAGCTGGCAAATATTGTATTTCAGTAAGACAGCTAATCAATTTCATTTGTTGTAAAGACTTGCTGGATTTTAAACAATGTCTTCTGCACTGAGGGCTGGCAGATTGTGCTCAGAGCAGGGGCAGTCTGACCATTTGGAAACTCGGGCACTGCCCGAGGGCTCTGGGTCAGTAGGGGGCCCCATGAGATGCCCCTGGTACCTTTTTCATAGGCTTTTTTGACTTTGGGCAAGGACACAGGGGCCCCATGATCCCCTATTGCCTGGGGGCCCCATGAGTTGTTAGTCCGCCCCTGGTTCAGAGGGTAGTCAGAGTGAACAAGTCAAGATTTTGGGCACCACCCAACCAATAGGACATTATAAGTCCTCATGCACACGGGACGTTTTTACAGCTGCTGTTTTTGGCTTTTGGTGTTTTTTTTCTACAGCCAGCAAACTCATCAGCATGTTATCCTATGTGTCCATGCACACATACATAGACTTTAATCAGCTTCTTTTGGAAGGGATTTTTTTGGCTGGAAAAAAAAACAGAACTAGTGGGTTTCTAGAGGAGTTTTCTAGCTGTAAAATCTCTCTAACGCTGCTAAACGTGGGAAAAACGTGGGAAAAAAATGCTAAAAAAACTAATGTGACTTTATACAGCTACCGGCGTTTTTAAAATGCCCGTTGTGCATGAGGACTAAGAAGGAATGCAGAAGGTGGTGTGATAGAAACGGAGTGGGCATCAGCAAAGCATTAGACATAAGAAAACTATTCAACTAGTTTGTTAGCGCCACTGTTTGAGGCTGAAGATATTAAGTCTTAATTGAAAATGAACAGAGAACTATATCTGGGGTAGACCAGTGAAAACTGACCATAGACATGCTTTTAAAATCTGAAGTCTGTGACATAAAAAATTTAATTTTCTGATGTGTAAATTATTTATTGGGTTGTGATTTGTAATGGATGATGTGACATAGCACTGTCAATGGATGGTGTCTGCAGATGCTAGCAGCTTCAGTGTCACATGATTTCTACCCATGGCTTTCTGTAGTGACACTTAAACAGACACTATCACTTCCTTCTGTGAAAAGTCCCCCCTCCAGTCATTGATAGTCATTTCTTCTGTGCTCCTTTACTGTTCTTGCACCCTATGTTGGAGCCTAAAGGAAGCAGTGATGCCACCCTCTCCAGCTCTATTCCATGGGGAATGGTCACATGCTCCGACATACCTAGAAGCAGAAGGTATGTTGTGTCAGCTTAGGTAGAGATGCAAGAGTGTTGAGGAAACACCATTGTGGAGGGGAGAGGGGGTTTTCAATGGGGCAAGAGGAAGCTTTTTCAGAAATCATTTCATGTTACCCTGTATGGGCAAATTGACTTGTCTCCTTACAAGAAACTGGCATAAAAGAAATGCGGGGACTGCATTGCTTATTTCTACATTTACAAATGCTAATTTCTTGGCTGCCATGCTTGTTCTGTATGCCTCAATTCACAGGTCAACTGAAACTTGACTTGAGAGTTTTGAGAACTTTGTGACCTTTGAGAATTATTTATCCCATATGCCTGCAGCTAAGGAGGTTAATGAGGTTTTGAATTAAGTCTTTTTAAAGAAAAGCACTTGATTGGCTGCAGTAACCTTGGCCCTTTAGACCCACTCACTGACACCAGGAAGTGTCCTCAATACAGAGGAGTGATGGACATTTTGTTAAAGACTAAAAAAGAGGAACTCAATTGGCTGTCTTTCTGAAGCCTGTTTTTAGCATCACCCAACAGCACTGGATGGAGGAGAGTCTGTGGACTAGCAGAGAAGAAGGAGCTATGAGGCTGTGGGAGTGAACAGAGATTTGTGGTGGGTCCCTAAAACTAGTTAAGTCCTAAGTAAAGGGGTGGCATTGAAATCTTAAGATCCTTCGGTCTCTGCAAA